AAGCAATAGTTTTGCTTATACACCTCATCGCAACGCTCAGAGACCGGGAAGAAGAAATTCACGCAAATTACATGCTATCGTAAAGCTTTTTTTATTCTTTCTATCGTGCGGTGTGAGTTAACGGTTGTAAGTCCGTTTAGGACTGTAAGTGTTCTTGTGGATTAAGCGCAAATTACTTCGTTTATTTTTGCTCTACTAAAAACTTACATTTCCGAAGAACTTTTAATATGAAAACCTTAGAAAGTTTATCATGTTCTAAACTGAATTTTGCTTATCACGTGCGGTATAACGTTAGTCAACATATATTCAAGGTTTATATGCGTGCAGTGCGAGCATTTTGTTGAGATTGCTTGCATTATTAACTCTTCGGTAAGTTCGGTCGTCGCGATATCAGCAAGCCGTTAAACAAATCCTTTATATATATACCTTTTCCACCATTAACAAATTAAGAGTTATGGGTACTTGGTCATATCGGTTTATTGGGAAATGCTGGATCTTCAAAGATACATTGGAAGAAAAGGTAAAGAGAAAATTATTGAAGGAAATCTACAATAACATCATCAGCGCTACTCCTTTATTAATCCCCAATTAACTCTAGCTTTATATCCAACAAATGTTGAGAAACTCAGGATGAAAACCAATGGAATGATTAACCCTATGGGCATACGTGATGAAGTCACAACGTCATTTAACACCTTAGCATACCAATCACATCGTTCCTTAGAAAACAATGCGACCATGCGTTCGAAAGGAAAGCGATTGACACATTTTCAACAGTTGCTGTGGATGATGCATTTTATTACAAGCAAGCAAGAATTTCCTCACGAGTCTGCGCAGCATTACTGTCTCGATCGAAATAAAATTGTAAAATATGGTGTAACTTTACTGCAAATTCATTTACCTCCAAGAGACAATTAGTTGCGTCTTGGAAACTTTTCTTTTTTTCGAACTTGGCAAAGTCATCCGTCAAATGCCGTTCGGCAGAATTTACGGCTGTTCACATTTTTGTGAGATTGACGTTATAACGCGTTTAAAAAGCTAACTGGCGCTACTTACGCCCGAAAGGGCTTATGTAACTGTATACAATTAACTTGAAAGGTTTAAATTACGAAAAACGCCTTTTCTGCCAACCCATTGTCTTGAAGATCAAACAAAACAAACAGAACTCAACAACTAATTATGCGTTAGCTCGTACCATAAGTGACGCAATATCTTTTTTAAAAACGTTACAAGCCTACGGCACATTTACCCAACATAAGTTAAACACCTAACAACATAAGCAGCTCTCTGAAGCTCAAGCACTCGAGCCCAGTTTGAATGTCATAAGACAAACAACAATAAAGGCAATTACATGAGTATAGAAATAACTTTGCGTAGTTGACAGAGTGTCAAATAAACAGAAATGTGTACGCGTGTCACTCTCGCTCTTTACATCAATCAGCACAAAAACACAAAAAAAATAAATAAATAAACAAGTAATATTCAATTTTGCCCAAATTTTTTATTACTCACTAAAAGTCTGTTTTGATGGCAAGATAGAGTGACGAATACATTACGAAATATATGCAGATGTGATATATGTCGTTTTTTATACACATGTATATCAAATCATCAAATTTTAAATAAATTTCGAGAACTTTATGGGTGAAAAACATATGTATGTCGTCGGTCTTATTTGTTTAGGAGTTTTAAATAGTTGTGCGCGAGCTCTTACCCCGACGAGAACAACAAAAAGGTTTCAGCGCAAGCTTGTTCTTCTAGACGAAAATTGAAATTGAAAAGAAGCATCGCTTAGGCATCTGGAAAAGAGTTTCATAGAGATGCTTCTTCGTATATCAGCATTCCTTCTTTTAAAACAATTTCTGTGTTCAAGAAGTAGGAGGACTTTTTTATTCAGAACGTGCAGCGCTTTAAGAAAGTAGCCTTTATTTCTTAGCTTGGCACCATCGAAACTGATAACGACATTCATTCTTTGTTTATCTCGACATAGGATAAGAGGATAGGCTTTGAGCCCCTTCTCTGTCTTCCATCAACATATTCTATCGCTTAAGAACATATATGTGTTGAAAAGCATTTTATCACCAAAATTCTTTGATCGAGGGCCGCGATTCCCATTTCAAAGCAAAATCTGACACAACATCGTTACGTAACGTTTTTCCAATTATTACAGAGATCAGAAATTGAGCAAATAAGAAAATGATCGCGATCGATTCTTTTGTATCCATCACCGTTACCCTTGAAACAGCAGACATAAAAAGTAAAAGAAATAAATTTTCATCTTTTATAATACAGAGAGGCCACGATTGATTTTTGTTCTTCTCGAAAAAATCAATTTTTTATTCTTTTTGACTAACAGATGTGATGTCAGTTTGAAAGAACTTTCAATATTTTGGCTCAATTTGAAGTCGATAGCTTCACTTTTAGACACTGGAGATTGTTTAAAAAGCACATAACATAGACGGATAGACGCATAACCGGGCACACGAACATGCTTAAATCGATTCAGAATTTTACGCTCATCAACAAAATATATACACTTTGTGGGGTCTGTGAAGTTTTCGTTTTAAGCCTTTTGACGAAATGAATATACCCATCATGTTTGGGCGATAGGGGTAATCCATTTTACTTCAGAGCACAGTGTGACACAGTCATCTAATTTTAATCATTCTATGGAAAATGTATTTTGCTTTCTCTCAACCAATCCCAATGGGTGAAAAAAAATTAGTTTCGATTTGCACTTATCTAATACAACTTCAAAGTCTAAAGGGCATCTGAGGCATGCCATGTAAACAAGTCCATGTGAAGAGAACCGCTTGCAAATAATTTCGTAATGTGAGAAGACGCCTTCACGATGGAATAATGTTTGAGCGTAGCATTGCAGAACACGTTAAATAACATTGTCTGCTAGAACTTTTTCTTTTTATACTTCTGCGAGTTTTTGCATGCTGAAGGAGATGAAAGTTGTTTTAAGAAAAATTTTTCTGAAGCTGGTATTACTGCTGGAATTGCAATGGTTTTATGACTTTTTGTGATTGAATTTTGAGTATTATGAGTTTTCGGGTTTGTACACACTTTACTACACTCTGCGACGGCTGTCTATATTACTACGCTGCGGAAAAAATAGTTAAAAAAATAATAATAAAACAAAAAAAAAAAAAAAAAATTGTTACTGCCAAGTTACTATTATTCCTTTTCCTGTTTCTTTATGCCTTGTTACGGTTTTCGTGAGGTCAAATCAAGAGTCAGACAATTGTGTTATATGAGTTTATTATCTGGCTATATAGACAGGAAAAAACAAACAACCAATGTACGTAATAGCATTTTTATGCCAAAATTTCAAACAAACAAACGAACAAACAAAATTGCCATGGCAAGAACTCAAAGAGAAAAAAATAATTGAATCTAAACTGAAACTGGAAATTTTTTTTAAGGCAAATGAAGTTATTTTCCTTGAAAAGGAGGAAAAAAATCAAAGGTTAACGTTGAGAATGTAAATGATGCCACACCTGGAGCGAAATATTCACAGAACAAAGTCTTCGCGTAAAGAAGCACGTTCAGCACGTTTGACGCTAACGATTACAAGCCAACATAACGTGTTGTGTCGGTTTATCTCAAACCTTTCTTTCGTAATCTCTTCAGTTAGATTGTTCATCAATCTTAGAAACTGACACAATAAGAGAAAAATATGCAATCACTTCGTTCTGACATTCACTTTAATTTATTAGCTTCAACACAAAAGTAGGCGTTGACACGTTTTCGGCCAATAATAAAATTAAGTAACGTAGAAATTATCTCGGAATTGCAACGGGCTATACCTTCCCTTCTACAATGTACTGAAATAAATTCGGAACTCATAATTGTTACAAATTTCACATTTTGTGGGATTTTAAATAAAACCCCTTCGAACTTAATTTCCAAAGCTAGACATTTACATAATTAAAAAATCGGGATATTTGCAGTACCGTCGCTCACCACGTCGCTCCCGTCACATTTTACTTTCTTTAAAGCAAGCTTGCTAGTAACTTACAGACGCACATGCGCGCGTACTTAAATTGATCCAGAATTTTATGCTGATCGAGAATACATACACTTTGTGGGATCTCTGAAGCTTCCTTTGGGTCGTTGCAAACAATTTGACAAAATGAAAATACACCTCATCCTTTGGGGATGGAAAATTATGTTCGACTGTGAACCAAATATTTTCACGATACGACTCAGTTCGTTAATTCTATGGTGGACGTCACGTCACGTGGTGTATTAAATTTTTCCTAGCAACATAAATTTTCACTTTTTTTAAACCATAAACAAAAGCAAGGGGCACTAAAGATTTTAATGATCGTGGCCACGCGAGATTCGGTCCCAGCTGAATACAATTTTCTTACTTGTTTTTTTCTCTCCTTTTTCTATTAGACTTGTAATGTGCGGATAAGTGCTTCAGAGTCGCCATAAAGTATGCGTGAAATTTATATATTTGAGCGTTAACAGTGGTAATGGTTTACACTTCCCTGCTTTTTTGTTTCGTTCACATTCGATTAGTACCTCAATAGAACTAGAGAAGCACACGTAGTCTCGAGTTTTATCTTCTCAGTTTCAGGAATCTAAAGGTGTAGGCATCGCTGTTATTTCAAAATTGTTCTCGTTTCTTATATACTTTAGACATGCATTTAGGAAGATCACACCAACTTATAGTCTCCAACTTTTAACCGGTCAAGAAAACTTTGCGCCCAACCTTAGCGTCCCATTTTCCCATCATTTCACACGCAAAGCGTTGGCTCAAACAGACCCGTTTTGCTACTAGTAGACATATGTGACCGGCATCCAAAAAACTAGAATAATTTAGGAAGAATATTGAGAGATATTGAAATGTGCTATTCTTTAAGTAACAGTCACCAAAGCTGTACGTGCCTTGTAACCGCTGTTTCGCAACTCAGAACAAAGTAAATCCTTACTTTGTAATCCTGTTAACCTATTTAGGTCACTTTATTAACAAAACTTTCTCATTGTTTGCAATCAATTTATTCTACTTATTCTACTAATGTTTAAATAATAATTTTTAATAAATTAATAATTAAATAAATATTTGAAAAAAAGATACCAGGTCATCAAATCTTCCTTTAATCTCATTTGTTTCGCCAAAAACACTCACGCCAATCGAATGGTTTTTGCTGCTTTAGCTTTCGTGTTTCAATTCATCAGCACAGACTTCGAATGCTTTCAAAACGTTATCGTAAATTTTCAAATACGCTCCGCGAGCTTTCTGCCCAAATTCTGAGATTTTATATTTTTCAATAATTTTACTCAACTCCTCCTCCTGCGCTGTAAAGTCTTTGGCGGAAAAACCAATCATGTCTTCTGTTAATTTATATAAATCCCATATGTTTGACTCGACTTCACCGTTCTTTACTTTTTCGAGATGTCTGAGCAGTTTGTCCTGGCGCCTAGTGGTAAGATCTCCATCGGGTGATTCATTGTTTTGCTTAATTTCATCCATAACATTCGTCAGAAACTCAACGAGCTCATCTCCAGTTTTAATTGTAAAATCAGTGAATTCTTTCAAAATTTCTTTATGAAACTTATTGTGTTCATCTAACCGTTCACTGTCCGGTATTGGTGAGGTTAGGCAATGCTGAAGTTAAAATTTTTATTCTTTACTATCTTCATAAATTTTTTTTTAACGACTTACTTGAGTCAGTAGAATGAATCCCAAACATATAATAAAATAATTTTTCATTTTTGCGTTCTTCGACCTTTTAACTGTAAATAACAACTGACTTATACTGTTCCAAGTTGATCTTCAATTGCAAATTTTCGACCTGTTACTCCTTACGTTTTTCGTAGAATAGAAAGGTGACTTGATTAGAATTCTTAAGAAAATTTAAAGATTTTTCTAATTACTAAAAATTGGGGTGACCATAGGTAATTCGTTTGATATTCGTATATTATCTATACCCATGTTTCTTGATATACGTGAGTGATCGTTTTATGTGGAAGGGAGCGAGGCAGAATTAGCAAAAATGAAAGAAGAAATTGTGCTCAGAGCTGCTGAAGCAAGAAAAGAAGAACCTTCTACTTCTCTTGCGCAAACATGAGGTCACCTTAGCATAATAAATTTGTGATACGTATGATCGACGGTTGTACAAAATTATAATATCAGCAATTAAGCTTTTATTGAACCAATTTGTTATGACAATCTATTAGCTGTACAAATAAATTGCTCCCACTGAAATTGATTGCTTCATAAAACGTACTTGATGCGTTCAATTTTCCTGAAATTTTAGATATTGATAACTTGAATATTGACATCTGAACGATGAAAGTTTCATTTGCTTATAAGCTATGTATCAATGTATATTAGAAATGGATGTCGTTTACGGCATTAAGATAAAGTCAGTAAATCCTACGTATGCACTGAGCAATGATCTCGCAATTTAACCAGTACAAGGAGGATATATAATAAAATAATATAGGAGAAATTTTATAGGAGAAGGTCGCAACCACTTACGATAGCGTCGACCCTGACCCAAACATATCTGTGTACCGAATTTCATCAAAATTTCTGAAAAATTGCGATTTGTACGGTCAAGAGAGCTAAATGGACACATGGACATACAAGCCTAGATACAGATTGATTTTCTGAATGGAATGATATAATAAGTGGTGCATTAATCTCAATTCCTTGTTGGCGTAGTGGTGAGCATGCACTGATTCGGAAAAAAAACATAATATTTGGTAAAATTATATAAAAAGTTTTTACTTTTTCATCGATATTTACATACCTAAAAGAGCTTAAAATTGCTTGGTAGGAAGAAATCGTTCAAAACAGAAGTAAATAACGTATAAATATTTAAGTAAAGCAAATTATAAAAGATTTAAAAAGAAAACTTTTTCATTTCAAGGTCAAATTTAAAAGAATTACCATGTCGAGAAAACGATTAATCTACCAGGTCTTAGTTTGCATCATTGAGTTATTTAATAAATGCTTGATCTTGAACTTTAATAAATCTTTTCTTTGTGCTGCGTCATAACGGTTAATAAATTGTATGCATATGCTTCAACGATTTTGATCGATTGGTGTTTTTCTACACATATTGTATATTTACGTATGCATGCAGCACTTGTAGCCTACTGAGACTAATAATGGAAGGTTTTAAGTCTTTTTTTTTGCTTTGTGCCGAATGCGTGTTGCTTGTGTTAGCTGCCTAAGTGGCTGCTGCAGCCACGTGAGTTGTGGTGCATTATAATTTTTGTTTCTGTTGTTTTGGCGGCTGCTGCTAATAGCATGCTTGTCTGATTTCTGGCTACTAGACTGACTCTTCCGTCACTAGCAATTAGTTGAAAGCGAAACTGGTTCTTCAATGCATACGAAAATACACGAATGTAATCTTTTAAGGAAAAACAGGGCATAAAACGTCTACAACAGTCGTAAGTGGTTTTCCTGTTAGTGCTTTCTGCTCTTGTCTGGCAATAGTGGCAGTAAACGGAGTAAAATAGATCTTTTCCTTCATCACAATAAGCATCTGGTTTTTTACAACTTGACGCGTTTACTTCTGTGTAAGTCTAAGGGCTAAAACTGCAATTATCATCGTCAATGTCGACACCATTAGTCTGAAACTACGACACTAAAATT